TTTTTTTTTTGCCTATATCAAAATCTATTCAATGTATCATAAAATAGAAAAGAAAACTTAAAGAGTAAACTCATTTGTTCCGATCACTTCCGATTTTTTTTTCTCTTTAACAAATACTTAATCTTGAACTATATATATATACTTTGTCTTCATGTATTCAAACTGAAGGTCAAACGAACAATTTTTTAAGATTGTGAGAGAATGTGTCTATGTAATTGTACTTATCAATACACATCTATTGCTTATTGCGTATACAACGCAAACATAACTATTTCGATCAGTGAACATTTGTCACGCACATAAACACACATATATACATACATATATATATATATATATATATATTATATGTAACGCTAGTCACAAAAGAACTCTAATCACGGTGCAATGAAACAGAAAATAAAACTCCTATCATATACTTAAGTAACTCTGTAATAATGATGATGATGTCACAAAATGAAAATTATTTTTCTTTTACCATTTTTTCTTCCGCGAATCTATATATATATAAATGACAATCTTAGTCATTGTAATCGTAGGATGTCTGTGCATATGCATATATGTCGCATAATGATCAATCCTTGTCAATGTTAATGACAACTACGCATGCTTGACGATGACCCTGACTATTTTCTATTCATTACACTCGAAATAATATTTACACCTGATGATATCAGATATGCGAAGGTTAAAACTGACTCGAAGCAAGATTAACTGATATGTATAGATTTTTCTTTTCATTGATTTGTCTCAATAAATCATGAAAAGAAAACATGACAATCATATTATTTGTTATTTCATCTTCAAATGATTTTCTGTATAAATGATCAAATTGGTTTTGCAGCTGTTTAGATGTCTATATGTGTTCATAAAATAAATAAACAATAAGAAATGAGAGAAATACAAGCGATGCCAATTAAATTTGGTGTGAATAGAAAAAATAAAAGGCTAATCACATACATTTAGAAGCCCGTTAGCAATATAGAACACATATGTTGTTATCGTATGCATATACGTCAAAGAGTAAGAAAAATGAGTTCCGTTTGGACATAAAACAAATAACAAATCACTTTTACTTTCAATACGGAAATGAAGCTTAACAAAAGAAGAAAGAAAAGATCATACCTAATTATCAACACGAATAAAACGATTGATATAATAAAAACTTTAAACAATCTTCTTTTATTTTTTATGTTCATTTTAAAACATAGGGAATAATGACACGTGTGTATATATGCTATCAATGTTAATCATATCGTGTGTATGTGCTTATATATACTTACTTGTATGTGTAAAATGGGCATGCGTTGATGTGAAGAAAGAGACACAGAGAGAGGGAGAGAAGAGAGAAATGCTCAACGTATATGTGTTTGGCACCGAAACGTTCACTCGGTCGCTCGTCGACAAGCTCTGAACGATAAGAAAAAGAAAACGGATGCTCGTAAAGCAAAAGGAGGATTTTTTTTATTCACATACAAAACGAGACAGAGAAAGAGAGAGAGAGAGAGAGGGAGAGGGAGAGGGAGAGAGAGAAAAGGAAAAGATCGGGAAGAAAGATGCAAAAGAAACGGGAATGAGACTATTGCGTAATAGAGAACTACTACCGTGTGCTGTCAAAGTGATTAATCATCATCGTTTCCTGGCATACTCCACACATACAAAAGAAGCCAAATGAAAGAAGTTAGAACGAGAACGAGAATGAGAAAAGTGTGTAGGGCGTGTCAGATATCGACAGTTTACATTCTTTTCCCCCTCTTTATATAGCCTTGATTCATCCCAATTAATCGATATATTATTTTCATAAGAGACTCAATATGTGCCTATAAATAGTTCGTAGACAACATAAAACGGAAGTATGGTTTGTATGTGCATATGCTCAACCTTGACTAGGTGTCACTTCAGGACGGAATCATTCGACAGACAAATAGACGGAAGCATTGTCATTCCCATGATAATTTATGTCCCATTGAAGAACAAGAAAAAAAAAGAACCCGGAAGTATATATATATTTATGTGTATATAGTCATGAAGCACGATCTAAAAACGTCTAAACCATAATAGTTCGCATTTTATAACTTGCACTATGGCTTCGTATATGCAAACGCATGCGTCAATATGATGATGATCGTGATGATGTTACACAATGTATTTTACGTCCGAAAGAAAGGCCTCTAAGGATCCATTAGAAAAAGTTTGATGTCTCGAAAAATCCAATTTGTATCGACAAGATGAGAACAACCATGTTTGCTTGTCATTGACTTGCGTAAAGTACGTGATTTGTTAGATGTAAACGAGAAAAAAAAAAGATAAAAAAAAAAAAACTACAAGGAAATTGGCGAGTGACATAGAAAAAGTTGAGCGCAAGATTAATGTGCGTGACAAGTTCGATGTTGCTGTTACACTTTTGACTGACAATGATGACAAGGCGCTAGACTAATTAACCAATAGATGAAAATGAACGAAAAATAAAAAGGTCGGCGACCATCATTTCCTGCTTGACGATCATGACTCGAGGTCATGATTGACCTTTTTTCTATCTTTTTTTTTTAGGCAAATTAAAATCAATCATTTCATTGACGACATACATACATACATACATAATATATTAGACATTTTCGATTGATGACATTTAAATGTAAGATTATTATGATACAATCTTTTTATTTATAGATTTTTTTTTTTCTAATAGAAATTGTTTTTTTTTTATCATATTGTCTAAGAATTAAGTAGTCTAAAGAATATTCTGATCCAATGTCTATGATTATTCTTGAGAAAATTTACATTTAGATAATATTTCTATTTATGAATATAATTCTTTAATAACTTGGTTTTTCTTTTGATTGTCATTTGAATATCATAAATATAAATACAATTTAATGATTTGATAAAATAGCTTTTTAAATCAATAAAAAACAAAGCAGCTTAATTTTCATCTTACCTAGTCATATAAACATTTAAAAAAAGATTCTTAAATAGTTCAGACGAATAAGACATGATGATATATGTATAGTAAATTGTATATGTATATATTGTGTCTCGCAATTTTATTTTGTCACATTCTCAAGTTGAGTCTGCTTAAGGGCAACTATAACAACAATGTATGAACACTGGCGATGACGACAACGACAACAAGATGGAGGATGATGTTGATGACTTTGATTGTAATTTTAATATATGTGCGAAAGGCCTCCATATGGCCTCATCATCAGACTAAAAGAAGACAGAATGACGATGTGTGACAAATAGACTTAAAGCAAACGAAGAGAAAGAAAATTCAATTGACGCCTGCTTTTCAATGACTGACCGATGGCACACATAGACAATGTCATGTCGTGCTTTCTTTCCTTTCCTTTTTTATGGATAGATTTTATTATACATCGAACAAATAATCCTATTGTTCGTTGTCCTTGTTTTCTGTTTTGTTAACTTTCTCATGTTCAATCAATGTCTAATTCAACCCCCACAAAAAAAGCAGTTAATGTTGTAAGCAACAAAATCAATTGATGATATCTTATCATGTTCAAGGTAGAATAGTAAATCTATTATATGTACAATTTTTGTCTGTAATGAAGAAAAATGTCAGCTGTCATCAGGACGTCATATATAAGACATTCGAACAAAGAAAAAAAAAAAAGAAAGTACATTGTATATCAACAATCAGTATACTATTTCGACATATATTCACTATCGTTATAATACGACAGACAATCAAGTACAGAAGATGTATAGACAAAAATTATTTTTTGTCTTTTGTTTATTATTTATTTCAATAGTTGCACAAGATAATAAGAAAAAAACTTGTATACATGATTTGGTTATTAATGGAACGAATTTAATGGCACAGTATCGAAAACAATTACTCGTTTTGGGTATCACAAATTTTAATAATCCATCAGCTCGGATTCAAGCTAATAGGTAATAATTAAATATATGTTCGAAAATTTAGTAGGAATGAATTTTTGGACAATTTATATATATATAGATGTTTTGAGTTTCATTCAAGCGCAATCGTAAAATAATACAAGTGAATTACATAATATTTTACAATCACTTGATTATGTAGAATTTTTTCCACATCATAAACACTCAAGCTTGTTTATCAAAATATTCTTCAGATATCTTTTTTTCTTTTTGTTTTTTTTATTGAATAGATATAATGATTTGTATCGTGAACTTGAACGTAGTGGTATACGTGATTCAGTTGTACGTGTTATTCTTGTTAATGAAGCAGACGCTGCGCGTCATATAACTGGAAATTATTATGACAAAATTCGTATATATCAAGATAATTCAAAAGATCATTTAATTAAAAAATTACGCAATCATGGACAAACAATAGATAATTTTGTATTTGGAAGGTGCAAAAATTTTTCTTCTTTCTTTTTTTTTTCTTTTTTGTTAATTTCATTAATTAAAATATAAATTTTATTTTATCAATATTTAGATGTGGTTATGTTGGATTTACTCAAGAACATCCCAATTCAAATCTTGAAGATGGAAAAAATTATCGAAAACTTCTTCAATATATTAAAACAGCAATAAAAAATAAACGACGTTGTCAAAGATTATGTAGTTAAAATCAAAAAAAAAAGAAAGAAAAATACTTATAAAAACATTTTCATCGAACATGTTATGTTTTTTTTTCTTGCTTGTTTTTCATTTTGACGTTAGAATTAAAGATTTAGAGTATTATGTTTTTTTTTTGCATATGATTTTTTTTTATTCAATAAATGACATTGATATGATTTTACGCATTAAATATAAATTTATTTCGATCTAGTTTTAAAAATAGAAGAAAAGAATTCTAGTTATGATGTTGTTGATTATATTAAAGATAATATCGATATGAATGACTTTGAAATTCATGTATGAATACAGTCAAATTCAAGACCATTTATTAGGTTTCTTCTTCATTTTTATCAAAGTTATTTTATCATTAATATTTTAAATAATGAAGAAATTTTATGAGAGAATTTTTTTGTTCAGGAAAAAACCTCGATCATTTATATTTCCATTTATTTGATTAATAATAGAGATAGAAAATTTGAAGTTCTTCTATTCGATTAGAAATTTTATCAAAATTATAATCGTGTTAATTCAACTGTGAAAGAGTAATAATTTCTTTTATTCTCTTTTTATAGAAGTAATTGAAACATGAATGAACATAATGTTGATGAAGTAATCGGCTTCCTTCCTATTACATAATCATTGGTCATTATCTTGCCTATGTTAAAGCATTACCTTGAAAGTTTTTTTTGTTACTATTCTGTCGCACCTATAGTGATCTTTTATTTTTTGTGCTCTTTTCATTAAAATACAGATAAAGGATAAAATTAACAATATGTTAATTTGAACTTTGCCATATTTGTTCAATCTATTCTATGTAGTTAATGTGTACATATGTTTATTATGTAGAAGACAATTTCTTCATATATATATTTATGCTCACGCGTGCTATCATTAAGAAAAAAAAATTTGAATGAGGCCAACGCACACAATACGGACAAAAAAAACAAGCGACAGGAGAAATACATCATAAGAAGTTCCTTCAATGGAAAACGAAGAAACTAATGCACACTAAGTTATACAACAATAAGCAAAGAAAAAAAAGAAAAGTCAATCATGACATTTTTTCTTTAAATAAGAAACAACAAAAAACAAATTCATTGAGCTTATCTATTAGTTAATCATTTTTGACTAGAGATTGGTCTAGACACTAGTCTGTTGTTTTACGTTTTTTCTTTTTCATTATAGATTAATACACACACAAAACAAGCAACAATATACAACAACAAGAGCTGATCTACACACGTACAAGGAAAAAAAAGAAATATGAGGGTATTATATACGAAAAGAATTTTTCTACAAAATGAAAAAGACGAAAAAAAAAAATTGAGAGAACACCACAACAACACTAGATGATAATTCGAAGTATATATGATTGTTTATTTTTAAGGTTTATCTTTGTTACTAGCTTCTTTTTTTTCTTTACGTTTTTTAAGAAATGATGGTGTTCGAAATTTTGATTTCTTTTCTTTCTTTGTTTCATCACTGCCACCTTTACTACCACTTGTACGTGTTGGTGAAACCTATATAATAAAAAAAAAAGTCAACTCTCAAATTAATTGAACATAATAATTTCTTTTTTTTTTAAGAATTTTCTTTTTTCTTTTTTTGTTCACATGCCACCAATAAGTACATATGTGCATGGCGTGTTATTCATTTAATAGAAAAGAATTGTATAGGAACATCCGAAATGACAATCACATAGGGTTTGTTTTTTTTTTTCATTTTAGCATAAAAGAAATATATATATATACAAGCAGCCAAGAAATAAGTGATATGTATGTGCATATCGATGTGTACTGACCAAACTCTGAGCTCGTGCCATTGATGATGTAGTAGATGGTTGCTGTAGATGAGAATATATATTTTTTTCAATTAAAATCTTATTTAATTTTCTTTTGAAATATTTATTTAACAATGAGTTAAAAAAACAAAAACAAAAATGAAAAACATACCTCTCGACTTGATGCAGCCGATGATGATGTTGCAGATTTTAATGTATCCGATTTAGTTGTTGTCACTTCTATTAAATCAAAAGAACACAATCAATCATACATTAATTTTTCATTGCGATATTTAAAAGAAAACCACACAACTCATGCTTAAATTAATAAAAAAAAAACGTACTTGCAGCAGCACTAGCACTTCGTGAAAAAGTCCCTCGACTTTCACTTTCTTCATCATTACCTAAAGGAAAAAAGACCATGCATACATGCACAATGTCATGCAACATTATTTCTTCTCATTAATTCACATACTCTGTCCAGATAAAGTAGCACTTCGAGGTAATGTCACCGTTTTTTCCGGTGATGCAGAAACTTGACCGCTAGCGCCATTAGTTGTTCGACCTGGATATGTTATAAAAAAAAATTAATCATGAATATTTGCATAGACGTAAAAAAAAACCGATGATAAAATGCATTTCTCTCTCTCTCCCTCTCTCT